CCGGCCCCGCCGCCTTCCCCTTCCCGTTCCCGGCCCCGCCGCCTCCCGGGTGTTGCTGCGTGTCCGGGGCTGAAGAGCCGGTGGGAGAGCAGCTGGGGGCGGGAACCCCCAGGTCCTATGGCCGGGAGGGGGAGGGAAACGGGAACCCTTGAACAGGTGAAACGTACAGAGAAACAAACAAAAATTTCCAATGCTTCATCTTTAACAGGTGTTGCTCCTACAGCTCCCTGAAGCAAGGGGAGAGTCTCTTCTCTCATTTTACAAATGATAGGAGAGGACACGGCCTCAGGTTGTACTAGGGGAGGTTTAGGTTGGAACAATTTCTTCCCCAAAAGGGCTGTCAGGCCCTGGCCCAGGCTGCCCAGGGCAGTGGTGGAGTCCCCAGTCCTGGGGGGATTTCAGAGCCATGTAGATGTGGTGCTGAGGGACATGGGGCAGTGGAAAGTTGGCAGTGGTTGGAGTAGATGATCCTAAGAGGTCTTTTCCAATCAAAATTATTTGATGACTCTAAATATTCCACCTTACACTTATTTATTAATTACAAAAACTGCAGCCTCTCACAGAACAAGAACAGCTGTTTATATGCACTTTGTCCATGTCTCATCAGGCTTCCTGTGAGCTGAGCCTGGATTCCAAGCACTGACTGAACCACTGGAGAAGCCTTTGGTGCTGAAGATGCTCCTGCTGGATCTGCTGGACAATGGCATTAACAGAACGGAGCTGGTCCTGCAGCTTCTCCTGCTCAGTTCTCCGGGCCTGCTCCGTGGAGCCCAGGGGACTGTACTTGCCCTCCTTCAGAGCCTGCAGGTGCTTCTGGCGTGTCTGGTAGGCCACAATCTCCAACAGGTTCTGAGAAAAGCAACAGTGGAAACTGCTTTGACTGCACATAGAAAAGAACTAAGGTAGGGACAGGATTTGTGTCACAGCTCCTGTCAGCATCGTGCTGTGAAATGGAAGGACACTGCTGTGTTACATTCCCCATTCCCAGTGCTGCACAGCTACAGTCACATCACAGAATTCCATAAAGCAGAGAAATTCCTGCACACACAAGGCAACCCTTGCCAGGACACAGTTTCACCAACTTAAAAACCTGGCAGGAAGGCATTCAAGACCTTGAAGCTGCACCACAAGTAGCCAGCTGGTGCTGGCGAGGGACAGGTGTTGGCAGGTATTTTCAAGACACAAACCACGTCCTCTAGGCTGGTGTTCCCAGGCAAATGCTGCCTTGCTGGGAGTGCAACTGCAGCATCAGCTCAGGGCTACGGTGAGCCCTCAAAATGTGCTCCATTTTCTTAAAGTGTTGCTCAAGTTACACAGCCAGCACGTTCAGGGAGCAGGCAGGGAAGCAAAGCAGGTTCTGCTTGGCAAGGCAGCCATGCTCACCCATCGCGTCTTGTTCCGAAGACATTCCGCGTCAGAGTCCAGGCTGCAGGACTCAGCCTGCAGCCCCAGCAGCTCCTGCTGCTTTTCCAAGAAGGAAGCACTGAGGGATGCTTGGGTGCTCTCCAGCTCTAGGGTGGTTCTGTTGCAGTCTTGAGTGTTCTAGTAAAAGGGAGAGAAGGAAATGCCAGATCCTGGTTCTTTAGTTGAGCTGCATTCCCACCCATCTTCCCAGAACTGATTTTTTGTTTGGTTTTTTTTATACTGGGGTTTCCCAGGCAGTGCTGTGCCTGGGCAGGTGCAGGCTCCATGTCCTGACACCCCATGTCTCTGGGCTAGGTGACATTACAAGGCAAATCCCAGATGTCTGAACTCTGGCAGCCCAGCTTCCCTGGCTCACCTTCTGGTTTTTGCTGATCTTCCTCTTCAGCTCCTCTGCCCTGTGGTGGAAGTCACCCCTGGTGAGAACTTTCTTGTCAGTTTTGTTCTGCCCCCTCCCCCAAACAGCTATTGCTTCTCTGCGAGCAACAGATGCCTCCATGTCACGAATCATCTTCTCATGCTGCTTCATCAGCTGGGCATAGCAGACCTGCCATTTGTTGAGATATAAAATAGGCTGAAAATAACAAATGTTTACAAATAGCACCAACTGAAGTCTCCTGTGTGGCACATCCCATCAACATAAACCAGGCACACACGAGCCTTGGCAAGCCACATTTGGTCTAAATCCCAACCTAGTGTGCCCTGCGTGGATCTGGAAGGCAGAGGGCTGGGTTACCAACTCATCTAAAGTAATCTGCAAAATGTTTCACTGAAACTCATCAGCAATAGCAAAAGCAGAAGAGCAGAAGCATCCTGAGAACAAAAGGGAAGAGTTGTTTTGCCAGAAGACTTCCCTATCCAGTGATTAAGATGATGCAGTAACATTTAGCAATCAGCATTTTGTTGCCAACAGATCTGGGTCACAGAACAAGGTGCCCGATATTTAACTGCAGATGTTTCTCAGGGACATCTAGGCCCTGCTGCAGCCCATTACACAGCACACATGCTGCTTCTCCAGCCTGTTTTTCATCCCCTGCCTCACATTTCAGCAACTCCAAAGCTGACTATATTGTGCAGCTTCCCCTTCTCAGTCCCCCCCCCCGAGTGGCTTACTTGCATCCTATGAATCTCTGTTTTCATGGCTTGGATTTCTTCTTGTGCTTTCTCAGAATCCACCACCGCACACATCTCCTTTGTCAGCTGGATCTTCCTCTCCCACAGCATGATTTGGTGCCTTCAGTGACAGAAAGGGAGAGCAGTACCTCTGTGAACAGGGGCGAAGACACTGGCTGTGTGGGGCAGTGGCAGGACACTCCCGGGATGCCTCTGAACACACTGAATCCTGCAGCAGCAACTGAGGATTTGCACAGGGTGGGTGTGAAAGGGCAGCAACTGAGCAGTGTGAGATCAGGCAGGAATTCTGCCCCCTGGGAAATGGCACAGGGACTGCAGAAACAAGCCAGCCCAGACTGACAGAGGGCTTGGTGGACCCTGTTCATTGCAACACACTCACTCTGAGCTCTGGACAGAGGACACAGCAGGCAGAGTCTTCCCTGCAGATCTTGGCACATCCAGCACAAGCTGGAATCATTAAAGCCAACATCCCTTCAGCTCTTTCTGGTTCCAGAGATGGTTAAAACACCTTTCAGCCTCTGCACTTCAAAAATCCATTAAACTCCCTTTCACCTTCTCCAAGGAGGAGCACTGGAACAAGCTCCCCAGGGCAGTGGTCACAGCACCAAGCCTGCCCGAGTTCAAGAAGTGTTTGGATGATCCTCTCAGGCACATGGTGTGATACTTGGGCTGCCCTACATAGAGACAGAAGATGTGTCCCTTCTAACTCAGCATATTCTATGATTCTAAGGACAGAAGCACATTTGCTGGTGCTGGTTCAATTTGATGACTAGAGAAGGTGACATGGACACATCTATGAAAGCTCAAAGATGGTTACACAAAGCAAAAACCTCTGGTACCTACTGTGCTTCCAGCAGGCTGTTCAGGAATCTTTCCTTCTCCTCAGCCAATTGACTGTACCTCTCCTGCATCTCAATTGACTCTTTTTCTGCCGCCTAGATTTGGGAAGCATAAAACAATACAACATTGTCAGACTGGGGAGGATTTACAGGATCACTGACTGCCTTTGATCTGCAGGGGAGGTTGAGATCTGGGAGGATGTCAATCCTCTGTACCTTGAGGGTGCGTAAAAACTCGTTCTCTGTGATGACGCTGCCGCAGCGCAGCTCCTCGAAGCTGCTGCTGTTCTCATTGATCAGCACGTTCAACGTTATCAAGTCATTGGACATGCTCCTCATGTGACACTCAATGTTCTTCTGTTCTTTTATTTCCTGCTGGATTTCATCTACAGGTGAACAGAAAAGTCTCAGAACTCCCAGGAGCACTGGGCTGAGCACAGGCAGGGTGTGAGAAGCTGCAGCTAGACCAGAGGACACTGCATGTGGAGCCACCAGTGTCCCACAGACCCAGCCAAAACATTTTTCTACCAGCCCAAAAATAAACTAAGGTTTACAAGGTGACTGCTGTGGGAAAGAGCTGGGTTTGGCCAAGGGAAGCAGTGTCATTGGTGGGGACATTTACCTACCAGCTACTTGCAAACTTTATTTAGGAAGTGTAACACAGGACAGTTCCCATGAGGGTTTCGCTGTGTCAGCTCAGAGCAGGGCTGGTGGTTGCAGGAAGTAACAGTGTGGAAACCAGCAGGAGGGGCCCAGCTCCTGCCCCACCTGCAGTGCTGGGGCTACTGGCATCATTGCTCACACACACACAGGGGCACCAAGGACGTGCTGTGGGGAGGGTCTAGCACTACCCACCCGTGAGCCTTTTTCTCCATCCATGGATGAACCCTTTGGGAAGGAGGGAATGACTCACTTTCAGTGCGCACTTTCTTCTGCTGCATTATTGTGAGCTGCTTCTTCAACATATCCCAGGAGGTTAGTTGCTCCTCCCGTTCTTGTCTTAGCTTCACCATCTCCTTCTGCAGATTGAGCCAGTACTTCTGCAGTGTCATCACCTCAGAATTAGAGTCTTCATTCTCCTTGCTCAGCTTGTTGATCTCAATTTCCAATGGCCCAAATTCATGCCCCTGTACAAGGGCAAGGTTTGGGATCAATCAAGCAGAAGCTGCTGGAGCACGTGTTTATAGCACCAGTGCAGCAGGCTGGTCCAGCTGCTGAGCTGCCTAATAAAAACTTCAACTAGACTGTTATTTTGCTAGTCAGTTACTTTCTGTACCCATTTCCCATGAGCTCAATTGGACAAGTAATTGCTGACCTCACTAGAAAAAGTGCAACAAAAGCCCAAAATGTTCTCTGTGGCACCAGATGCTCCTCAGCTCTTAGAACAGGAACGTCTGGACACCCAAAACCTTGGGAGCAAATGCCACAGCACTCCTTTTCACACTGGTCTCCACAAGGGTCTTGGAGCTGACAGTGCTAGGGACAGATCTGGGCATTGACTGATTGGGGACAACTAGCAAGTGACTGAAGCCACTCTGCCTTTTCCACTCTCCCATTGTCAGTCTTTGTGGACTTCATGAAGAGATCCTGTTTACTCCTGGAGTATTGGTGTCATCCCACATTTTCAACAGGTGTAGACAACTCTCTGCAGGAATCTGTGTTAGACACACCCTCATTTCACAATTCCCTAAGGCCAGCTCCTTTCCATGTGCATTAACAACTGCCTGACAAACGTAAACATTGACATTAACCAGTGCTGCTAGCTACTAGTGAAGCTAGTTACATCACAATTCTGATGCCTGAGAGTTTTAACTATCCAGCACTTACGCAGCTACATTTATCAAGGGCATCTGTGGTCATCATGAATAATAAAATCAACTTTGGGACTGAAACATAAAGGTACATACCCCCAGCTGAGAAAGAAGGGTCTCCAGCCTTTTGTTGTACTGGATGATGACCACTTGCTTGTTCTCAATCAAGATATTGCACTTTTCAATCTCACTTTCACTGTGCCTGATCAGATCATGCATGCTTTTCACTTCCTTATCCAGCTCACAAAGTGTTTTCTGGAGACCTGTCAGCCTGCAGTTGGTATGAGTTGCATTCAGAACAAGATGGGCAGTATCATTCTCAACTTTGGAAAAATGCAGCTCCTAGGAATATCAACAGACAGAAAACAAGTAACTGTCACCAAGAGCAACTCCTGGATTAGCAATGCCCACCTACCAAAGCACAGGAATCAATGGATTGAGATTCTGCCCCCAGATCTGTGCTACAAGCCATAATCCTCTCTGTCTCTCCTGCTGACAGCAGACAGCAATGTTGACCCCTGCCATAAGGCTGCTGAAAAGCATTAAGGAGCCTAAACCTCCCCAAACCCAGAGCAGACCATGCTCATCACTTCAGCCATCCCCTTCCCTATATGGATGTCTCTGGTTCCCTGGCTAACAGTGCTAGGATGGTACTGAAGTAACCCCTGAAAGAACAGAGGTGTGAACCTGTTGTGTTAGTGCCAGCCCACACAACTCCATGCAATAAATGCTACACTGATTTTTCTAGTTTGTTCTATCTGTACCAGTTACACACTCCCAAAGAGAGCAACTCATCGTGCCCTAAAGGACAGGGGGTCTGGTCTGACTGTTCCTTGGACAGTGTTCCTTCTTTGGAAACTAGGAGCATGTCTGGATCACACCTGTGTACAGAGACAGGTTAGTTTAACATGGAGTTTAGAAGTGCCAGATACCCACTGTCTGCCTGCAATGCTTAAGGACTTCAACCACCCCACAGTAAATACCCCCAAGATCCATCACTCTGCCCCACTTTTTAAGGATGGATGGTGTGTTCTGCATCCGGCCTTTCAGACCAAGCCCTCTGGCACACACCAGCATCCTGCAACCAAGTCACTGGAAGAACCAAACTGGAGCTGCAAACCCAGCAGAGTTTCAATTGCAGCCCTGAAAACCAGAATGAAGTTGCTGACAAGCACACTCAAGAACCTGTCTTAGGCCATTTTCTCCCCCTGCCCTCCCAGGGGAAGCAGAACCATACCAGATCTGTTACTCTACCACAAAGATCTGCAGCCAGCTGTGAGAATTGCTTGGTGGCTTTGCTGGATATCATCTGGTCCTGCAGCTTTGCCATTATTTCATTCTCCATCTGCTCTTTGGCTCCAATCCCTTTCTCTATATCCTTACTGAGAGACCACAAATCCTTGAGAAGAGCAGCTTGATCCTAAAAAGTACAGAAGACAGAAACAGGGTCACCACAGCTGCTTTAGGAAGGGTATTAATACCTGTGTCCAATTCAAAAGGGTTCTTCTTTCATTAACTATTCTCACCATGCTGGTCTTGTTGAGGGCCTGCTCTGTCTCCTGGAGAACTCGAGTGTAGGTGCCAGATTCAACCTTCAAGGCCTCCTGCCTCCAGAGGCTCTGGGCAATCAGTTTCTTGGAGGTGTTGGCATTGCTCTGTGAACGGTTCAGGGTGGAGACAAGCACCTCATTCCTCTCCTCCTCCTTTCTAATTGCCTTTCTACACCCTTGAATGTCTACTTCTAGGGACTTGAGGTCATGCCTGTATTTGCTGGAAGGGCAAAGAGGATGGATAATCATCACAGGGATTCATGCTTCATGTGCTGAACAGTCATCTGCAAGGTTCCTCTTTTCACACATGCTGTTGCAGCAACAACTGACCAAGACAGAAGAGCTTTGCAAGGCCAGTCTGTGGTGACAGAGCAGAGTTATCAGAAGATGGATGGAGACATTAAGACTCAAAAGGAAAGGTATGTAGGAAAATTAAATCCTTCTTCAGTCCTGTCCCCACTCCACACATTCTTACCAGGATGCCTCCATATAAAAGCATATTATTTGTTCTCAGAGAGTCACTCAGGCTTTAAGACTCCAGAGCCAATAAACATTGTCTTTGGCAACAATAGTAAGATCTTCCTGAAGGTTTCCAAAGGCATCACAAAATCCTAACCAAAAAGGACAGATAAATCCCTCCCGCTCTTTGGAGTGAGAGATGCTGCAAAGGTGAAGGAAGTCTTCTAAAGGAATTGAGTATGAACAGAAAAACCCTGAACAGCTTTTTAAAATCCACACATTTTGAGGGAAAGTTTTGAACAAAGAAAACAGTAACAAAGAACTGTAGTTCTTGTCCTTTAACCTTATTATGTGCTTTACAGCAGCAAACCTGTTCTGCCTGACATATCCTGCCCACAGAGTGATAAACTTGGCAGAAGACACAGTTCCCTGTTTAGAACCCCTCCTGTCCACAAGACTGGAGGTCTCTCCTGGGCTGTGCTCAGATACAAACCTCAGCAATTCCTGTGCAGCAATGCAGGCCTCATCTCTTTGCTTCATTCCAGCCAAGCTGCTGTCCCAGTGGCTCATCAATCGCTTCTTTTCCATGTTAATGGCCTGAACCTCCATACAGGCCTAGAGAACAGAGAGTTGGGAGACAAAATTAATCTATACTGGGTTGAAAAAACAAATTAAGGTTAAAATGCAATATTTTTCTTCCTAATATGTTGGGCAGGAACAGCTTCAGCTAATACGTGCTTGGTTTATCATCCCTCTGGATGACAGGGCACAAGTGTCCAAGAAAAAAAACATGCTGAGAAGGTGGGGGAGGAAGTGATTTACAGACCATTCTTAAGGGCAATGGAACTGAATAAAAAGTCTTTGTTTCTGCAAACAGGAATGAATCATACAACTCTGGCCTAGATTCTACATAGTATGAGAGCATGAGCCAAAGTGGTCAGTCCTTCTGGAAGGAAATATTGACCAGAAGTGAAAAAAACCACTCTCCTACCTCGTTTACTGCTTGACGAGTTGCTTTGGTGTCCTCTGCCTGGGCCACGAGCTGAGCTTCCAGCAGAGCAATCTGCTCTTGCAGCTCGTAGTCTTTCCTTGTCAAACTGTCCACCAGGAGATCCTAATGTCAGAGCACAAAGTTCAGGATGAGTAACAAAATCTGTCTTAACAAACTGTGTTGTACAAGAGTAACACAGGCTACCAGGGGGATTAAAATGGCAACTGGGTGAGATTTGATTCCTACTGAAATTGTTCCATCCACATACAAATGACTCAGGATGCAGCAGTGACACCTTTCAAGAGACCCTCTGTGCTGTTTTTCATAACTCAATTTGCAGCAGTAGATCAATGTTGAGATGTGAAGCAGCACTCATCCTGCCAGCATGGACTACCCCGTATCACCTCCTCTCCAGCAGCCCGCAAAATTAGCCATTTATGTTTTTAAATCCTTCGTTAAAAAAAATAACTCTCCATCCATGCATTGTCTCCCCTTTCCCAGCAGTTTCACGCCGCGGAGCAGCGCGGCAGCAGCAGAGGGAGCTCCAGCATCCCAACCTGCCTGTGCACCCTGCAACCACCCGCACTCCGAACCCTTCCCCAGACCTGAGCAGACCACACTCCTTTTCTAAATGTCCTCCCTCCCACACTTCCTTGTGCTTGAGTGAAGAGTCATTTACTATTACAGAATCACAGAACAGTCATGGTTGGAAAGGACCTCTGAGATCACTGAGTCCAACAATAAAAAACAACAAATAAACCCAACCCAAAACAAAACACACAAAAAACCAAACACAACAAAAAACAACCACCAACCAACATAAAAAACCCAAAAAACACACCACCACAAAACACATCCCAAAATACCCCACAAACACACAACCTCAGCCACTAGAGCACACCCTGAGGTTCCTGATACACGTTTCCTGAACACCTCCAGGGATGGTGACTCCCCCACCTCCCTGGGCAGGCTGTTCCAGGGCCTGACCACTCTTGCAGTAAAGAAATTCTTCCTAATGTCCAATCTAAACCTCCCCTGCTGCAGCTTCAGACCAAGGCTTGTCAAAAGCCTCTGGGCAGTATGTGCCACTATCCTGCTGGGGGGAATTCTTCACATTTTTGGAAAAACCTTTGAGCTTGGGTTTTGGGGTGGGGTTTTTTTTCAACTATTTGGGAAGAATATCCCCACACATTCCATGATCCAGTCTCTACAGTTTTCCTTCTGACAAGGCAGCACCTCCCCCAAGACTCACCACTACCTGTCATCTGTATTTATTTATTTTAAAGCAGTTTTTGCTTGATACCTGTTTTTTATTCTCCATCTCAGCCTGGAACTTCTCAGCCTCAGCCCTCTTTGCCGACTGTTTCATGAGTAAAATATTATGGTGCAAATCCTGCTCCATGTTCTGCACGTAGAAGAGCTGCAAGGCCAAGTTTTCAACCTGGGTCTGCAATGCAGAAACTGGGGAGGCAGAAGGAAAAACATTGAAACAAGTACTTCTATAGGACACATTCAGAGAGAGAAGGGACAGAAATACAGCAGCACCCAAAGCAAAACCTGCACAGGTATCAGCTACATCAGTCCTCCCTGAAATGGAAATTTACATCATCTTTGGAGTATAGCTCCAAAATCTTGGAAGATTCCTTGACTCCCAGTACACAGAATCCAAGGAAATCCAAGAAGGAGCCTCAGGAAGCTGTGAATCCACTCCTCTGCCCCAAAAGAGAACTGTCTGTTCCTCAGTCAGTTGAATGCTTCTCTTATTTTTTCAATAACGTGCAAAAACTTTATAGGCAACTGATTTCAATGCTTAGATGTCCCTGCCAGGGACATTGTCTGACTGTTTCCTACCCTGAAACACAAGAACAATGAGTCAAGCCCATTTCTCTGGCTGGAACAGGCCCATTTCTCTGCTGCCACATGCATAGTGCTCTCATACTCCTGGACACCCCTTGGGACCTACAACCTTCGCAATCCCATCACACCCTCACAGAGGCACAGACAGAACAGAGATGGGGATGTTGCTCCTGCTAAGCCACAGAACAGCCTTCCTGCCAGGAACAGTTTATGGTTTAATCCTAAAGACCTAAGAGAAGTCCAGTGTAGTAACAAGGTCTTAGAAGCAGTAGGATTTATATGGTGACCAGGAACATCCCTGAAACTTTGCAATGAGTGTGCCATTTCTGATGAACTTTACTGCATTTTTCAATCCAGTGCTTGACTTCCATTCTAATTCATTTCTGCACAGTACTAGAATTAGGCAACATCACAAGGACTGCCTGGGTCACCTTTCTTGCGTTCCTCATCTGTGTCCTGAGACATTTTCTGCTGAGTGAGCCTGAGGCCCTGCAGCTCCTCCTCCAGCTGCTGGCAGGCTGGGGCCATTTGAGCATGGTGCTGGTGGCTCCTCTCCAGCTTCAGCTGCAGCCGGGCCAGCTGCTCCTGAGCTCCGAACAGAGTCACCCCCAGCTCCTCTTTCTGTCCTTTGCTCTTCTTCCTTGCCAGCCTCTGCAAACACAGAGGAAACCAGCTCTCACTGCAGCCTGGGCAGGGCTGGGCTGCTGTGAGAAGGAAAATTAAAAACACCATGTTACCAGTTCCTGGAAATCTAGGGCTGCTTTCTCCAGCTCCTTAGCAAGGTAATTCTTCAGGGCAGCCTGGAATCTTCGCATCAGAGGCTGTAAAGAAGCACAACGTTGATAACTTTAACACACTTTTGTAAATAAATCACAGGGAAACCTCACAGCTACTCCCACTATTGAATAAAACGTATTTTCTGACACAGACACTTGCATTCTTGTTTTAGCTCCACTCACTGTAACATGTGAGAAGAGTTAAATAGTGGGTACGTGCTGAGGTCAGAAAGCGACTACTGAGATCACAACCTGTCACTCTTGCTGCAAATCCTTCTCTTTCAGAGGAGGACCAGATTTGTCCCTCCTGGACCTGCAGCTGTGGGGTGGGCACTGCTGAGTAGAGACCTGAGGGAGCTGGTCCTTTGGCAGAAGCTATTTTTAAGCACACAGTTTGAGCACACAGCTAAACCCCTGCTTATGTTCACCTCACGCTTTTATACAGATAAAAATAGCAAGTCTGCAAAGAAGAACGACAAGATCTGAGGGCTTCTCACATGTTCTGGATCCAAGACAACCAGCTCTCTCTCTTCTATGGCTTCTTCACATCTTTTGCCCATTTCATGTTCCTCATCTCCATGCTGCTGCCCTTCCCCTTCCCACCTTTGCTCTCCATGCTCACTCTCAAGCTGATTGAATTGCTCCAAGGCAGACTCTGAACAGAGAGAAAGAGGTTCTTCAATGTTACCTGGAAAACAGCACACACACCACACAACACCCCACACACACCACACCACTCACACACACCCCACCACCACCACCACCTTCCCCCCCCAAAAAAAAAAAAAAAAGAAAGAAGAAGGCTTTCAGCCTTAGTAATTAAGCTTCATGCAGTCACTGCTCACACAGAGGAGCCTAACAAGTTCTTTATAGTTCCCAGGAGACCAATTAACCTTCTTTTAAATATATCTCTATATAGCTACAGAGGCAGGCACGCAGAGAAAGGCACATACAAGCTTTTCAGTGGTCTCAGATGCTCCAGCTCCTTGTTAACCAAATTCTGATGAGGCTCTCAGCAAGCAGACAGGGCTGCAACATCCTGCCTGTGTCCTTTTTTATTCCAAAGAAGCCTTCATGAGGGCAGAACACAGTCTTTTCTTCCAGCTGACCCCAAGACAGAAGGAAGGGAATAAATCTCACCTCTTCTTTGCTTAAAGTTGCCCTGCATGTCCTGGGCTCAGGCAAGCAGCAGTTCCTGGTCTCCTTACCTGCAGCTAAGGAGCCTGCTCCCCCCTCTCTGTTTCAGCTAAGAGCTGGTCTAGTGGGGCTGTCAAGGCTGGAGGAAAGAGCAGCATTTTCTTCCCCCGCCCCTCCAATTCAGCAACTCCGATTCCCAATCCCCCGAGGCTCCAAATAGGAAGGTAGCAATTTTGCATACCTCTCAGAGGAAAGCTGCACTTCAAATCACAGGTGATTCCTCTTGACAATTACACTTGACTTTCAGAGCAGGAGACAGTAATAGAGAAGGGTGTCTGATGAGAAAATTAGCAGAGCTCCAATCCTTCCCTCCCCCTGGCTCTGTGCTCTGCTCTGCACTGTGCTTGCCTGCTTACTTTTAATGAAGCTCCTTTTAATGAAGCCTTTTAAATGCTGCCTTTCTGTTGTAGTTGCTGCCAGGTGTGGTGCTGAGCACCCCATGATGGGACAGGTTGACAAGAGGTCTGACTGGATCCTCCTTGTGCTGTCCCTTGCCAAGCTGTGGACACCCAAGTGCTGTGTTGTGAAGTGAGGTACTGGCAATGTCTGCTTTTCTATGTTCTTTAATGTTGGTGTCTTGTACCAAGCTTATATTCTACATAAGACCACGACCAAACACCGTTACTGGGGAGTGGTATTACCCATCATGCTAACAGAAATGCTGGAGGAGGGCAATTCTCTGTTGCAAGTTGGAAATACTACTTTATTAATATCTGTGGCTGAATACAGCAGTAAATAAGGGTATTTTAACAGGTCAGTGCTATGAGGCTATAGAGTGACTTTTTTTTTCTCTGACCAAGTGTTTTCTAATGGGGACTGCTAGATGTTTTGTGAAAAATAGACAAAAATTTGACTTCGTATTTTTTGCAAATAGGCTTTTTAAAAATCTCTTGTGGTTTATTTTATTTTAGTCAAACTGCAACGGAACATGAAAGCAAGGGAAATGGCAAAGATGCATTAAACCACCCATGAAAAACCTGAAAGAAGAAGGCTTAGATTTCACAGCATTGTGCCTCCAACTGGATTAACAATCATCTGAAAGGGAGAAAACTGAAAACTGCTGGACAGGTGGTGTCAATTATTGTCCTGTTAACAAGGAACCAGGTGATACCTGACTCTTTGCAGCTGTTCAGCTCCTCTGACCACACAGGTGCCTGCAGAGGAGCCTCTGGAGGAGGGGAGGGGTCTCCTCTGCCTGGTACTGGCTGCTCCATGTCACCCAGTTCAGGTAATGCCACTTCATCCAAGGAAGTTTCTGTAGGTTTCTCCTGAAACATAAAATCCATCATCTGAAACAACTTTTCAACCTATTTGCCCATTACAAATCTGCTTAATTTTGTCCTCATGAGACACAAGCAATGCAAAGAACCAACAAGAGAGCCCTGCTCTACCATCACTGCCAAAGCTGTGTCACTTCACACTTAAACAGCAGGACAAAGGACCCTCTCTCTGTGACTAAGATTAGATGTATTATTATAGTGTGTCACTTCTGCAGAACCAACGAGCAGCTCTGTAGCTCCACCAGCTCCTCCTTCTCCTGGGGGAAATGTCTCCTCTTGGTGCTCTGGAGGAACAGACCCTTCCTCTTCATTGTTGCTCCCATTCTCTGCCTCTGTGGCCTGGCACACAACAGGAGAGAAGCAGAGCAGCAGCATTAGAATGGGCCATGTACCTTGTTTAACATTAATGCTACAGTGCTCTAACAGCTGCTTTTTGTAACAGGGCACAGGTGTTTAATTTAGAAGTTCCATCACATTCACAAACCAGTCACCCAGTTAGCTCTACAATAGTAAAGACCTTAACAAAAATTCTACACACTGCTTTTAATCTCACATCTATTAAAAACTTCACATCTAACCCACATCTATTTTTAAAAATGTCCCCAGGTATTTATCAGAGAAAATCTTCCAGCTTGCATGACATGTAGCCAAATTATTCTCTCCTTTCCTTCCTTTTAAGGGACACTGGTCTAACCTATATCATCATTTGCTAAATTCAAATATTGTGCAGCACCAGTAGAAGAAAAAAACCAAACCTCATCCCCAACAAACCTCAAAAAAACCCCAACAGCCCAAGTGTGTGCACCTGTGAAACGTGGGTAACTTCCTTTTCAGAGTGCCTACAGCACAAGCGTGCTAAGAACTGAGAGGAACACCTTTTCAAACGCTGCTGACACACAGGGCAGTCACTACAGTCACTTTGTAGTCGACTATTTTATGCACAGGGCAGCAGTGCAGTAACTGCTCCCTCGCTTTGCTCCTTCCCGTTGGAACCGCTCCCGCGAGCCCGCGGCTCTGTCCGGTGCCCACGGACACGCTGCCCTGGGAACGTTTCACGGGAAATCACCTCCATAGCAAGACGGGACGGGGCTCGGGTCCCACCCCGGCCTGCTCTGCTGCGGCACCGGGGCCTCCTCCCTGGGGCTGCGGCTGCGACCGGAGCGTCCTGCAGGAGAGAGGGAGTGAGGGCCGGGCCCTTCGCGGCCAAGGGGGTCCCGGCCGGGGGGTCCCGGGGTGGACAAGGGGTCCTGGTCCCAGGCCCAGGCCCAGGCCCACACTCACCGCCCCCGCCC